TTTCTAGATTATTTAGGTTTTCAACCTGGTTTAAAAGGCACATTTGTTAAACCATATAGAAAACCTAATGATAAACCACTCTATATACACACATCTTCCAACCACCTGCCTTCTATAATCAAACAGATACCAAAATCAATTAACCACAGGCTTTCCCACAATTCCTCCAATGAATCCATATTTAACAAAGCTAAGAAAGACTATGAAACAGCCCTAAAAGATAGTGGATTCCCAGCAACACTCACATACTCACCACAGAACACAAAAAAGGCCAACAGGAGAAAAAATATCATATGGTTCAACCCACCGTACAGCAAAAACGTAAAAACAAATGTAGGAAAAATATTCTTCAAACTCTTACACAAACACTTCCCGGAATCAAGCATCCTACACAAAATATTCAACAAAAAACACAGTAAAAATCAGCTACAGCTGCACTGAGAACATGGCACAAATAATAAAAAAGCACAACAGGAAAATTATCAACAAACCACACGAACAAATTAAACCCATGTGCAACTGCAGAATAAAGAACGAATGTCCCTTAAACGGAAATTGTTTACAAAACAACGTAATATACCCAGCCATGATAAAATCACCAGATAATGAAGAAAAAGTATACATAGGAGTAACTGAAGGACCCTGGAAAAGAAATTATGCACACAAAACATCTTTCACAAATAGTAAATATGTGAACAGTACAATGCTTTCTAAGTATATCTGGGAAATTAAAAACAAAACGCACATCACACCAAAAATATCTTGGAAAATAAGGAAAAGATCATCAGTCTACAACAACCAATCAAAAACTTGCAAACTTTGCTTGGAGGAAAAAAATAGCTATCATTACTTTCCCAGACCAAAATAAATTATTAAATAAAAAGATCCGAGCTCATCTCAAAATGCAGACATGAAAAACAAATTTTTTACTATGTTACTTAAAAATTGAAAAACGGAAAAAATAAAATAAAAAAAAATAAATAAACAAATAAACAAAATAACAATAAAATAAGCAAAATTAATTAATCCAAACAAATTACCAAATCACACCTGTTAGAATAGACGAAATAGAATAATAATAATAAACAAAAAAACAAAAACAATGAACCCAAATAAATAAAAAAAAATAAACAAAGTAAAAACCATTATGACCAAAAATATTAGTTAGACTAAAAAATCAAACCAAAATATGAAAAAAATATATAACTGTTATATAACGATAAAAAAAATAAAATAAATAAAATAAATAAATAAAATACTTACTCAAAAATCAAAAAAAAATTGAAAACCGAAAAATAAAAAATAACAAATAAAATAAATTGACCTAAATTCATCCAAATAAATAAATGAACAAACCAATCCCAATAAAGTTACCGTTAGAAAAAAATAAATAAAGATAATCAACCCAAATAAACACAAATTAAAACTGTTCCTGCCAAAATAATAGAATAAACTACAACAACCAACCCCAAAACTGAACAAAATAGCTTTAATTAAATTCCCAAACCAAAACAAATTTTTAAATAAGTTAATAAAAACAATTTTATTAAAAAAAAACAGTAAATAAATAAATAAAATAAATAAACAAAAAAAAAAAAAAAATAAAAAACAAACAAGCAAAATAATTTAACCCAAATAAATAAATAAACGACTTCCGGTAAAATAACCGCCATAATAGACTACCCACAATGCACCACTGACCCGTATATGTATAAATAGCCGAGAAAAATAACAGCACACATGGCCTGATGATTGCATATAGCATGAAACAGACTGTCGCCTCTAAGTGTTGACTTCTATGTTCACTTATATATATATATATATATATATATATATATATATATATATATATATATATATACCGAAACTATTATTGATTACACACACACACGTCATCATTCTAGACTATTTCAAACTTCAATCTTCCCAAAGAATACCAGGATGTATACAAAGGAATTCTAACCATCGCAAAGATACCACATTTGTTCTTGAAAATGACTGAGTGTTGAAAATAATTGAACAAAATATGAGCTCCTGAAAGTTTATTTACAACTTCAAGTAGATTAATGAACACTTTAGCTATAAATAAAAATAAAAAATGAAACAGTTAAACTTTGCCATTTTTTGTAATCAAATTTGTTTGGAGATACATACATAATAAATGAATATAAAATATTGTACATTGAGTGCTGATGCTAATAAATTACTGCTCATTATATAATAATCAGAGCTATAATTTATATTAATAATAAATATATGATTTTTACTCCCTGGTGGCAGATTATGCTGTGCATGAGTTGTGTTACCAATGAAGAGAACTAAATATATATCTATATATGTTTCTATGACTACTGTGATAGATATGTCCTCACTGTGCTCTCTTAAGTCTTGTTGGGGACGTGCAGAGTTTGTTAATTATGTGAGAAAGAATCAGAAGGTTGTGTGTCTTTCTGCATCCCAAACAAATAAAATAAACGAAATTCAAAATGCAATTGAAAAGACGGGACATATTCAATTAGAAATCAAAACAACATTTATATACAATTCAACATATATACAGATAGGATTATTGATGTATGATATGTATGCGAGATGTGTATGTAGTTTTTAGATTTCTGAATGTCTCTTTTTGCGATTGTTCGTTGATTTTGTATTCTTTTTGTTTGTGTCGATATTTGCAATTGTTAATAATAAGTGTCTTTTAGAAAGAGTTTTCTAAGAGTGATCTACCTTTAACTGTAGTTGGTGTTTTTGTAATGTCGTTAGTGTTTACTTAATTAAGTAGTGAAATTAATTCACTTTACATAAGCAAAGTTGAGAGATGGTGTACACAGAGTTGATTAATGCTTGATCGAGTATGAGTCAGCAATGTATCTTTTTGCGCGGCAAAATTGTGATTCGTAGTGACGTGAAGTATTTTGGAAAGTTCTCTGTGAATTCGTGTTATTGACTGCCTGGGGCTGTCTTCATTTATTTTTATATGGTCTGAAATTCCAAAGGTGGCTCAGTTGAGTTTTGGCGCAATTTCTATTTTGCACGTGAACTTCAAGTGATGAACCAATGAGATTGTTTGCTTCATTTCGTGCAGTTTTGATTGGTTGAAGTTTTTAGGTACGTAGGCGTAAGATGTGGACTGTGCTTTTGTTAGGGTTGGAAGGTAAGGAAAATTGGACGAGTCTACAGTCTCCTATCATGTCATGTCATGAAATAGAGGGCACAGCAGAAATACCTCACACGTAATGATAAGACATTAGGTAGATGAAGAAACCATTGCCATAAATGTTTTTCCTTTATGTGGGAGGCATTTATGCTGCACCCAGTATGAAATAAATTATATTTTTCCAACCTTTATAATCCCCTACAGAAATTAGTTCCCATAACTTGATTGTTCAAGATAAGAGTACATTAAATGTTTAGTAATTTCTGTATCTTTTTTTTTTTTTTTTTGTAAAGCTGTTCAAATTGTCAGTAATTTTTTATATATTACTTATTTATTGATTGATTGTCAGGTGAAAGTGTATAAAAAAAAAAAAAAACTTACTTCATTTCAATATCTTGGACAACTTTGTTCTAGGAGCCATTTTGAATTGAATTGTCAGCCATCTTCTTTTTTTTTCTCCTGTTGTGTATGTTTAATAACAAACTGTTTCTTTACTTTTATAAAACAAGAAAGTAGTTGTATTCTTTCTCAGTGGTTTGTGAAAATTTGGCAGTGAGCTCTGTTGAAATTCATTCTTCAAATCATACCATTTTATATATATATATAATAATAATAATAATACTTGAAAAGATTACTTTTTAAATATCAATTTTTATCTTGACATCAATGTCTCTTAGTAAAATTTCCATTCATCGGGGGCTGTGGTTTTGAATCTAATTTTTTTCATTTTGTTCCATGTCTTTTTCAATTTACATTTTTTTTTTTTTTAACTCTGTTTTGTGGATTGAAAAAAAAACATAGAACAAAGTCAAAAAATGGAAAATACCATTCAAAACCACAACCTCTGATTCAAAATTTTACTAAGAAACATCTATGTCGCAATAAAAATTGATATTAAAATTTTAAGTAATCTTTTCATATAATATCATTAACACTTTATTTTAAATATAATTTTAATATTTTTTAATATTGAGCACTATATATATATATATATATATATATATATATATATATATATATATAATAAAAAATGTCTGCTGTTTCTTAAATCATTACATATTTTAATCTTTTTCTTTTGTCTTTGCTTCCACAGACTGCTGGAGGAAAAAAAGAGGAATACTTCTTATTTGGTTCCATCTTGGAAGCTACAATGATAGACAAGAAAGTTGGAGAAAAGCCAGTTCATTTTGAAATGAGTATTGGTAAGGGTTTATTTTCCTGTTCAGCCAAGAAGAATGTTATACATCAGTGTTTTAATATAGTTTTCCAATTACCTTAATATATAACCAATTCTTACTGAATAATTTAATTACTTATGCCAATTAGAATCTGATATTCTAATTTCTGTCTGTATTCCTAGGAAGAGGTGTTATTATTTTCACTCAGACTAATATCCTCATCTTTGTTGTTATTATCACCTGAACACCTTCTATTTGTTATACTCATCTTTTGATATTATCTAATCATCATCTGTTTGAATTTGTGGGGTGAGGAGTTATCATTATTTACATTCAGACTAATATCCTCATCTTTATTATTATTACTACCTGATCACCTTCTGTTTGAATTTCTGGGATGAGGAGTTATCATCATTTACATTCAGACTAATATCCTCATCTTTGATGTTATTATCATCTAACCAGAAAAACGAAACAGATATCCCCAAGAGATACTAATTACTTTGTTCCCTTATAGTTTCTATAAAAAAAAAACAAATAGTCTGTTGTATGTAGAAACCAAAGTATTTGTTGCTTCTACATTAATTCTTCATGTGTGACCATGAAGTCATCTATATGACAGCATTACATGCACTTTAATTTCAATAAGAATTTGAATCTTTAAAGCCATCTGAAAATAAGATTCTTTTGAGTTACACTAGTGTTATGGTGAAACACACCTGTTCTATAGTTAATAGACTCTCCAACCTAATATAAGTAGGAGTAGTAAGAAAAACGACGGTCAGTCGATGTTGGACGACAGTAGTCGACAGTCGAATACGAAAATAGTCAGCGACCACAAGATTACTCTGTGTAATACCTATTATATCAAGTTCCTAACGTTTTGTATGTCGGACTATTTAGGACCGATTTAGTACAAATACAAGCCTCCACTGTAAAATAACTCCACAATAACTAGAAAGTATGCTTTTCTATGTACTGACAACTGGACTTTATCAAAGAGAATGAATTTGCCTTTAAATATCCTGAAAAGAATTGATAAGCTGTAAAAAATGAATCTATCAACAGAATATATATATGTTGATGCTAAATATATAAGGATATTCAGGGCTGTACTTAGTGTATCCGGGAAAGAATATAAAACAAACAAGAAGCTTTATGGAAAACTGCAAAGTGTGACCGAATCAGTACAGGTTAAAAGACAGCAATTTATTGGGCACATTTAGAGGAGTATAGAAGCACTGTTTAGTAAAGTACCCTTGTGATAGCCTAAACATGGAAAACACAAGAGAAAGTGACCAACTAAAATATGTGGGTCAGCTAAGAAAAGCTACTGGTTTGAGGAGGGGAAGAACTTAACGAAGATTATGGAAGACTGAAAAGAGCAAAAGAAAACTAGTCAATAAGCCAGAAGATATTTTTTTTTAGATTGTAAGTATTCTTCTTCTTCTAATTTTTGGGGGGCAATAATGATTTACTGATACAAGTTCTACTAATTAACTCATAGCTGGGGAGAGAAGAGGTGAATTCATACCTTTCCCAAGGGTATTTGCATGTAAATAAATATAATGAAACTGATTGGAATTGGAGTTCAGCTCTCTGATTTCAAATTCTAAGCCATTATCCATTACACTGCCAATCCAAGCTTACAGCAACTAGTATTCACATCCAAGCTTACAGCAACTAGTATTCACATCCAAGCTTACAGCAACTAGTATTCACATCCAAGCTTACAGCAACTAGTATTCACATCCAAGCTTACAGCAACTAGTATTCACAAGCAGTCACCCATCTAGGTACAGACCATACTTGATGTTGCTTAACATGCTGCTTTGATCATATGAGAACCAGTGTTTCAACATATATGGCCATAGGAATGAGAAAGGAGAAACACAAAAAACAAAAGTGAGTGAAAACAACTAAAACATATATGAATCTATCTAGAATTGATATTGGTTTGAGAAGTGAAAAACTAATGAACCTCATGGGATATGGAGAACAATGGAAGAAAGCTGGATTTTAACAAAGATGATGAGGAATGGGTGTTGAAATCATTAAGTATTATTTATTAACAATGCTTACAGGTTATTTTTTTTTTAAATGTGCTTTTTTCAGGAAATGCTGGCAATGTCCTGGATGGCTACAATTCTCCAACGAACCAAGATGAAGAAAGCAGCGAGGAGACAGGAGAATCGGAAGACGAGAAGTCAACAAGTAGTAACATGGGTGAGGTACCCCAATGGCAAAGTACAACACCTCCAGTGAAGCCCGTCACTAAAGACAGAATTTATTACATTATGCCTTACTATGAGGAAAAACCATGCATGTATGTAAAGGAAAATTTTGAAGATCACAGGCGCAGGATGTATAATACAAACATACTGAGCAAAATTATTACAAAGTTGGTAAGTGAAATGCTAATATTAGACGTTTATTTATATGGAAACATTTAGTATTCATAGATGAAGCAGCCATTTGAAATTTATAAAATCTTTCCTTTAAAACAGTTTTTCAGGAAAATAGGGTTTTCAAGTCGACTGTTATCACACTTTCTAGTATGGCTGGGGGTTTCATTCCTAACTTTATATTTCCTGTTGTGTTACTGAAAGGCTTTGGGCATTATATATAGGGGAGGGGGCTTGATCCGAAAGTAATGTCTCCTGTTTTATTCAGCTACCAAAAGGATTTGGCTGTTATATATAAAGGGCTTGATCCGAAAGTAATGTCTCCTGTTTTATTCAGCTACCAAAATGATTTGGCTGTTATATATATATATAAAGGGCTTGATCCGAAAGTAATGTCTCCTGTTTTATTCAGCTACCAAAATGATTTGGCTGTTATATATATATAAAGGGCTTGATCCGAAATTATGTCTCCTGTTTTATTCAGCTACCAAAAGTATTTGGCTGTTATATATATATATATATATATATATATATATATGGCTTGATCCGAAAGTAATGCCTAGGATTTTATTCAGCATACCAAAGGATTTGGCTCTTGATGTGGGCTTCCTTAATAACCTTTTATTCAGAGTAGAGTGAGACATCAACATCTTCATTATGTTATTTTTTTCATTGAGTTACACATGCTATACCCGTTAAGCCATTGCTGTTGTAGACTGTCCTTGAGCATTGTGGTTTCTGACATTTTGTAAACTTCTTAATTTTTGGGGGGGATTCTGTAGTGTCAGTCCATGAGATTCAAAGAAATATGATCTCCAAGAGCTACATGATCCACTCGCTCAGTCATTTTTAATCATTGGTTCTGGGAAGCAGTTGTATACAGTTAACAATTTATCTATGAGTTGGTTGTTATGCATGGCATTGATATGAATGTCTCACTCTGACAATGCTATTTAAGAATGTGACTCAAGTCCTGAGTTTAATGTTTTGGTTATGTAGCAACTTGTGGTATTGGAGAAAGCTATACTTAGTTCAGCTTATTTTAAAGTTGTTATAACAGATCTATGCATGGAGGTATTTAGTTTTCAATATTAATTCCACATCCTAAATTTTTATAAACTCCAGGTATGTGCCATGACTGCTTTCATTCCAATACCAGATCATAATTTCTATTTTAGAAAGGTTTATCTTGAATCCTACATTTTAGAACATTTGGTAGAATGTTAATTTTTCTTTTTTCAAGAATCTTAATATGTTCTCTATCCAGAATGTGTCCTAGCATTTTGAATGCCCTGAGAACTGATTGTGTGGTTTCGGTTTGCAGTCTGTTCTGTGGAAGTTATTCTGTCAGCAGTGAGATATTTTATTTGCTACATTGTTTTGTAAATTTCATTTTCTTCTGTTGATTGACATCTCATTTCTTTCAGGAAAATGGTCTGAATGAAGTCCAGGAATTAATTAATCAGGAGTTACCATTTCCAGAACGAAGGCTAAGGGGAGTCTTGGAGGAGCTAGGGTTGGGCTGTTCCAAGTATGTTTCCTTAGTAAAGAGTTCAAGTGGATGTGGTTCTCCAAACAAAACCAAATTGGATAAAGAGCGATCCAAACTACTGATCAGAGAAATTGTAAGTTTATTTTTTTACCCTGTTATTTTTATATTTTTTTATTGAATGTTTGATATATGAGAAAGTTTATATATATATATATATATATATATATATATATATATATATATATATATATACACACACACACTGGATTTAAATATCAAAATTTCCCAACTGTATTGTTGAAACTATTTTCTCAAGTGCCAAACGTCTTATGGATTGAGTTGGATCTCTTCTATTTGATCTATTTAGCTCTAAGTTGATGATCCTTCACCATTCAATCCTACATATACCCCATATTCACAGGGGTCCTACAAAACACCCCATGACATAAAAATTTCATAATGTCTCTGTTGTGACCAAGTAATGGTTAAGAAATAATAAAACAAGAGGTTGCAGATAAATAGTATATTGAACAGTAAATACAACAGAAGCGTGTTACATGACTTGGGTGTGTGTGTCGGTTGACCAGCATTCAGCCTATCACTGTTAATATTTAACAGCCCACTGTTGAAGGATGTATGTGGCACAAGGCCGAGTTTACTGTGGGTTTGCCGAGCCCATAGGCTTGGCCAAAAATATTCCCTTAGAACCCATATAAACAGGTTCAGGGCCTGTCTACCTCCCTGGATGAAACTTTGCCCTGCGGCAAAGCCTCATCCGAGTTCCTCTCCGCTCAAGGCAGAGAGTTTGACAGATGAATAGTTTGGCACTGTTCCCCCAAGGCTTACTTTCCTACTACTTTATAGTAAGTGGAAGAGCCCATAATAGGATCAATAGTGGAAGGATGCCATGACAGTTTCTAAAAATATATAAAATTTGATAAAACATGAAGTGAGGTGGGGAGGGAATGGTGCCAATAAACTAACAAAGGACTGTAAAAAAACAAACTAAAACAAAACTGATGTTAGTAGGACCCATCAACTCCTCAAAAAAGGAGTGGCTGCTGTATTCTGCCTATTGGCAGAACCAAGAGGCACACTCACTAATGGGGTGGGAAGAGTAAAAATAAATGACAGAATGGGAAAATCAAATTCTGTCGCAGCCGAGATGTGAAAAGGAGGACAAAAACAAACAAGGGAGGATGGAAATCTCGACTTGGATAATAACAAAAAAGAATGTTGGGAACAGGCCAGGGGCAACACTTATTCACATTAACTAGGAAAACAAATAGTATCTAACTTAACCAGGCGGCAGGATCACAGGAAATTGCACTGTTGTGACCAAGAGAACTACAAAAAGGAACTCAAGGATAGCCCCTTTTACACGATTTTCATTTTCACCCAACTTTTGCTGAAATTTGTCAACACCAAATTGTGACACCCAGCTGTCGGCCTGTGGTCAACTCCCAGTCACAGCATGAAGCTGTAATGATTCTTCCACCAGCGTTTTGGAGTTGACTCTTAGTCACTGCCACCAGCACATGTCTCGGTCATTTGATGGTTGTTGCTACTCGGCAAAATCCTCTAGTCAGGATGTCAATATTCTGGTCATCAATGTTAACGGCTTCATCAATTACCATAGCTAAATAGTGTCACAAAATACTATCAGATCTGATCTCAACCTTCACCTGATGCTGAAAAAATCCAACCAGAGCCTGATAAGAATAGCGTTCATGTTACAAGATTCTTTCCATTTGCATTGTCCAGATTACCATTCTTGCCATGGCTAGCAGCATCAGAAACACTATTCATTTCTCCCCAGAATATATAAAAACCACCTACAGAGTGGATTCTTTGCAACACTCTCCATGATACATGACCTATCGAGACCGTGAAAGGTCAATGGACCAAGGAAAGCCGTCAAGAGGAAATTTGACAGTTTCCCAGACCTATGATGGCACTTAACCCAGGAAATGGAAGGATTGATGGTAAGGCTAGGGTAGGCATCCCTAACACTTCCCACCAAAATTGAAATCTCTGTCAAAACACAGTGTAGGAAAGCCAACCCTGATGATTCAACAAATGTAGCAATCCCAGCCCCACGTGACACAGATAGTGGACACAGACTTCTTTACAGACCTTCTGCTTGCAACCACTACACAAGAGGGTGGGCAACAAATGTTCAATTGCCTTCCCATGGTCCTTGCAAAGAGGAAGTATAGACAAGTGGGAAGGGATGAGAGGGAAGATGTGTTGCACATGCCTCAGCCCTACCTTTCAAGGACAACCTCCTTCAGAGCCAAATCCAAACCGACGCGCTGACCTTTGCCTGTACTTCTAACCAATTCTTCTCTAATTGGAGTCTGGGCCTGAGCCACATTCCAAGAATGCAGATGGGTCTATAAATCTAACTAAAGGGTCCTGGAATGGCAGTCATCTTCCAGGCACCTAACCGCAAATCAGATGACCTGTTATGGTTAATTTTGCCCCCTATGACCTTTTACCGTTCAAGCACCTTCTGTACCAATTCAATGTTGCTGCAGGATGATATGAAAGTAGATACATCATTGATGTATGTGGAAAACCTGGCTTGAGCCCCACCAGCGACAGCAATTCCATATAGTGCCAAACTGCTCGTCGCATCCTTCATTCAGCAAAGGAGAGGCTCCAATGCCAAAGCATGAAGCAACAGTGATAGAGGGCAATCCTGACGAACCAACTGAGACAGTGCAAAACATGTGACTGCTTCCCATTCAACTGTACCACAGCATTGGGGACACAATACAGAAGATGGTTTGAATCCATTGGCCTACAGGACAGGAACCAGGTACTGATGGCCGACCCTATCAAATACCTTGAACTGATCCAAATTGATCAGCACAGCACATCTTGTTGTCTTTTACACCCTCAATAATAATGCAGATCAGATGCAGGTTGCTCTGAATTTTTTGACTCTTCACAACACAATTCTGCTCAGGTCCCAACAGAACCTCAGCAACTGACTGCAAACACTCCATCAGGATCTTGGCCAAAATCTTTAACTCTGTGTTTGGCATAGTTATAGGCCTATAAGCAGCTAATTCCTGCCTTCTATCTTTGCCCTTTTTCAACGTCATCACACCCCTGGTGATTTGATTGGGGAGGGATCAAAATGCCACTGAAAAACATGTCATTGGTCGACCTCAGAGTAAACCTCTCTGGTGTCTTGACTTCACAAATATATCAATCAGAACCTCAACAGATCTCTTCCTTGTGCAATTCTGTGTCCATGTTCATGGCTTCATTAGGCATAGGTTAAACAAGATGTCTAACTACCTGACCCTGATAGTGCTCGCTAGTCTAATGCTCCAGTATAGCTAAACCTATCTTTAAGGAATCCCAAGCCTCTGCCCAGAACAGACTATCCTTGAGCCTCTCCCACCACCTATTCCCAATAATTGCCCCCACTAATCCCCACTACACTAGTCTAATTAGCTGTTGTCAGAAGTCAAACCTATCCAGTAAAGAGAGATTGAACTTCCAGTGTCCAGCCATGCTAGGCCTAGCACCTAATTCTATCAGGGAACAGACGAGTCTAGGGTCCGAATAGCCTAACCAGTGGAATGTGGGATAATCTAACAAGTCTGTATTATCCCTTCTCACTGACATTCTGTTTAGGTAGCTGGCCACTTAAGTGCCTATGTCCACCTAGTGTAATCGACCTAGTATCTATCAATGAGACCAAACTCACCAATCAAATCAACCAGGCTACAATCACCCAAACTCCCATTAGCTGCCTGCACCATGTCTATGTTAGAGTCCAGGATGGCATTCCAGTCCCCCACTAAGACTAAGTGTGAAGAATCCACCAGGAATGGCCCTAACTGATAGAAAAACAAGACCTGCTCCCTCTGATCATTAGACACATAAACCGCAACAACCCGAAACAAACTATTGTCCACGACAATATAGGCTACGAATAAATAGCTCTTCATATTGACTTGGACAAGGTCCACCCTCACATCCAGGATATATTTAACCGGCAAGGAAACACCTCTGGTCAGCTGGACCCATATGCTGAATAGACAATATAGTCACTAGACAGCACACAAACATCAACCTCACAGTGTTTACTGAATGGCAGCCACATCTGCACCAAAGGACAGGAGATCATGAAGCAGGTGGGCAGTCTTACTCCAATCCCTCAAGCACTTTGCATTCAATGCATATGCACACCATAGAAAGACAATTACAGCAGCGTCTTAATAAAGTCAACCAATTGGCTACTGGAAATGGCTTCAGGTTTTCTAAAGTGAAAACTAAATGTATGTATTCTTGTCAGAAGAGAAAACTACACAATGACCATACTCTAAGACTAGAAGAGATTGAAATACCAGTTGTAGATTAACATAAATTCTTGGGAATAATATTTGATAAAAAGCTTACTTTTATCCTCCATCTGAAAGATCTCAAGAAGAAATTGCGTGGTGACTCACACTGAATGGGGAGCAGACCGAAAAACTTTACAAACACTTTATAGAACTCTAATTTGATCAAAAATAGATTATGGTAGCATTATATACAATTCATCAAAACTCCTCCTAATCTCACATGTGAAAAACTGGCACTGCAGTATTATAGCAAACTAAAACCCTGTTCATCTAACCCTTCCTACAAAAATACTTTCCTCCCTCAACACAGAAACTTCTATCAACAAAAAGAAAAAAAATTATAAAATCATTTGGGCTTCAAATGGAACCCCTTATTGAAGAATCTAAAATACAGTTGGCAGCAATCCATGAGAATATCATTCCTAACATTGCTCCCTAGACCATACAATCTCCAAAAATAATATTGAACTCATGCAAATTTCAAAAAACAAATATGCATCTTAACTTTCAGGAAGAATTTGATAAAATCAAAAAACTATTCCAGTCATGCACCCATCTTTATAGATGGGTGCAAACATGGAAATATAGCAGGATGTGCAGCAATATCTCAGAAAATAAGCACTAAGTACCTCCCAGATGAAAACCTCCATCTTCAAGCCTTTGCCATAGATCTACTGCTCAGCATTATTTCAATAAATAAAAACAAAAAAAAAAGAATTTTTTCTGATTCACTATCGGTTTTAACAGCACTAAAAAAAACAAAAGACTTGACAACCCATTAATTGTCAAGTTGACAACCCATTAATAGTCAAGTTGCTAAATAAACTCGATGTGTCGATAGATGTTGTGATGTGTTAGATCCCAAGTCACGTTAGAATAATTGGAAATGACAAATCTGACTCAGCTGCTAAACATGCTGAAAATATAGAAATTAATCTGAACTTTAAGATCACCTACACAGACCTGAAGAGCCAAATAAACAGATTTATTAAAAAAAATATGGCAACAACATTGGAGTAACAGTACTTCAAATAAATTATTACAAATCAAGTCAATACTTAGCGAATGGAAGCCAGGATATAGAAAATCCCCAAAAGAGGAAGTATTGGCCTGCTTGCACATTGGCTATACAAGAATTACACTCATGCCTACTGAAAGGGGAAGAACAGCCAACATGCAAACCTGCATACACTATAAAGAATGTATTGACTTAATGTACAGCTTTTGCCACATCTAGAAAAACTTTCTTCAGTATAAATATAAGGGATCTTGTTGCAGAATTTGTGCTAATTTGAATGTGTCAGAAGGTGTAATTGTGTGAAGGCTTAAAAATGTGCGTGTTCATTAAACATTCATCCACAACAAATAAGCAAACATTTGAAGGCAATTCAATTGGAAGAAATCAAGGAGAAACAAAGTAGTTATAGATTTCAATAAATAACATGAATTTATATACATTTAACATGCACAAAGTGAATTTTAAGATTGCTTGTTCAATGTGATAAGTGAGATAAAATTGTAAGGAATGACAATGCAGAGATTTGGTGTATAAAAGCTTGTAGTTTGAGTTTGTCTATGAAATTAATTCTGCAAGGGGAAATGTCACTTGTGTGAGTTCAAACATTGGTGTGTGTGTGTGTGACAATTGTAAATATTGTTTAAAGTCATAAGGAGTTATGTACCTTTGACTGATATGATATAAATTGATTAAATATACAATTTCTACTGTGTAGTGATAATGTCACTTTCTCTAGTGAATTGTAAGTTAATTCGTGCAGCAAGACTGTGTGAGTTGTGTTGAATTGCCAAGAGAGAATGGAGTTTGTTGGCATCTCTCAAAAACTCAGTTCCTGACTGCTTGAATCAAGTCAAGCAATCCTATTTATTGACTTTTTGGATTTCAAACTGGCTCCAGATAGGTGAGCGGGAAGAAGGATTTGTCTCAAGTTGCTACATTTTTTGTGTCCTTTTAACCAATGGGAAGTCAAGTTTGGAAAAGTGATGATTGGTTAAAGTTGATTTGGGGGAAGAGTGAATTTTCCTGCAGGGGTGACTGGCAAATATGGAGGATTCCATTAATCTCTTTGAAAGAGCAAGGATGGATGATGATATATCATTTCTTAAAAGAGTGGGTTCATGACAAAAAATATAAACCTTTAAAAAAATTGATATTTAAACCAAAACCAAAGTAGTTGATATCATGTGACTACAAAAAAAAAAAAAAAAATGAAACCATATGCTGAACAAAAAAAAAAAAGGAAATAAATAGTTGATACCATATGACTTGGTATAATAATAAAAAAAAAAAAAAAAAGAAAAAATTTTTATGAAGTATAAGAATGTCTCGGCTTTAAATGACCCATGAGGAGTTGATAAGCCATAAAACTGTTGTAACCTAGAAAAAGGTTACTGAATAAGAATAACTAAAATGATAGTTGGAAATGGAATAGTAATCTTTATGACATTAACGACATACAAGATTCACCAGCAGTGTGTAGTAAGTAATCTACTGCTAGTGGTGAATCCCCACCCCAGACAGTATATTCTGCTGTATTTATGAAGATTGGGACACACCCGCCATAGTCCATAGGTACAGTATAACAAAAACAAAAAAAAACTATTGAGACAGGAGTAAATAACTGTGTCATCAGCATAGATACCAAGTTGAGTACTGATGACATCAGGAAGGTTTTTAATGAAAATTAAAAACAAAGTAGGCCCCAGGACAGAATAAAGTTAGGTGATAGAGATGACAGCAATAAAAATAGTGTCATTTTATCTTCATATTCAAAAAAGGTATTGTCTTTCTTTCAGTTAATCCATATAAGAGAGATATCCCATCAATGTTGATCCTGTTGTCTGGACATATTCACATCTTTCATTCAGAGAACAGAAGAAATGTTCCACCAATCAGGTTGCAGTTAATAAGAGCATTGAACCTTTAATTCATAGAATAGTTAATGGTTTCTTGACATTGTGCCAGGAGGTGGTGGTCACCTGCAGGAATTGAAGGCTACAAACCAGTTTTTACTTTCTTGCAAGAACTGTTTTTTATAAAAAGGAATGATTAACATATTTCACTTTTAATTTGACAGGATCAGATGTCTACGATGGCAAGAACATTGAAAGCTACCATCACAAAAAACAATATGAGAGATAAGTTGCGGTCTTCCATCCAATATTTACAGAAGTTGCAAAATTTAGTCGAAGAGGTAAGCAGGGTAAATTTTTATATGTACATAAGTTACGTAATTTTGTCAGACTTACATTCTGAACCTGTAACTGTCACCTGGAGGTAAGTATAGCAATAAAAAATAATACAAAACTTACACATCATGGGTAAGACATTAAACTACATCTGCATCCTGGGTAAGACGATAAACTACATCCAGCAGCAAGGCCTCTAATCAGGCAGTTTTGAGGAATGTGGAACCACTTCTTAATTGCTGGTGTTCCCAGGTCCACCCTGACCCAGGGTGGTAGCACCAGTTAGGGGTCCTAGCTATGGACAAATAGTTAACTATTACCAGCAATATTTTTTTGAAAAAAATTATTACCAGCAATACAATTTTGAGGGAAAAATATTACCAGAAACAGATTTTTGACAAAACAAAATATTACTAGCAATAAAAAATTTTGTCGGCATTAGATAACCCATTGAGGTTGATATGCCGTAAAACAAACTAAACCAAAAAAAAAAAAAAAAACTTACGGGCACTACTAGAATAGATGGGTTCACTCATACAAAATATAAAAATTTGTGGATGGGTCATAATTTTCATAGATTACCATTTGTCAGAATGGAAAAAAAATGTTGATTTTTCTTCTTGATTTACAAGAGGGTGGTGGTGGGGGGGTCCTGTTTATAATAATGATACATTATAAAATCTGTCCCTGACACTTTAAAAAGTTGTCTGGACTTCTGCTTACTAAAATAGACTTCATTTTTACGAAAAGCTTTTTTTTTAAATAAAGAACAAATTAAAGAAGGAAAATTTACATCTTCATTTAAAATATTATCATCCAATATTTGTGTTTCTGAAAAAATCCCTACACCATGTCTAAAATATTTTAAAAAGTTTTAAAAATTTAGAAAATGAAAAAAAAAAAATGCTGATATCAGCACAATTTAAAAATTTGAAATTTGTAAATAAGGATGCTCTAAAATGCTAATGTACAAAATTATTTCCCCCATAATTTTTTCTTACTTTCTAATGAATGGACCAGTCTATTTAAGTACCAATGTTTGTCAGGCTGATAAAGCCTCAGGTGGTACAACTATAATCATTAATAACAAAATAGCACATAAAGAAATAAAAAAAAAAGTACTACAATACAAAAACAATGAAAGAACTATTTGAACACACCAAGATAGATCATTTAATGGCATATTTAAAGAAAATAGGACTATACAACAAAATCTAATTAAAATAAAAATGTGTACAACCAATCTAATGCATACAACCATTCTAACATGTGCACTAACTTCAAAACAAATAAACTACATTAAAAAAGTCTGATCCCAAAATTCAAAAACTGGCTCTTAAATGACCATGATGGTTGATGGGTCGTTAAACTTAAACCAAACCAATGTTTGTGCAAAAAAAAAAAACAACGAAAAAAAAAAACAACGAAAAAAAACAAAACAAATGGCTTAGCTCATCAAGTTGCCATTGTTGTAAGATTGAATGGATTTTTTTCTTAATTTTTATATTAAAGGTATTAGCTTTTATTTTGTGGCAAAATTCAATAAAACGTTTTTAACTAGCTTCTGTGATTCTAAATCTTTTTAAACCTTTGTGCAGGTTTGTGGCATTATGACCAAAGGAAATGGTTTACATTTGACTTTTCTATGTTACAAATGTAAATGCTGAAAATAATGCCTTGATCAATTACTGATCATGTCTGATTATGAAGTCTCTTGTCGGCTCCATAAACTTTCAAGAATTTTCGTCTGATAGTCAATTTGAAATTTCACTATTTTGGTATCTACTTTAGTGTAAATAAAAACAGAATTTGAAATTCCCTCAGCTTAGCTATATTAAGATAGTAGATGTGTTGAATGCGAGAGAATTTCTCTAAGTTGGATGATAGGGATGACAGCAATAAAAATAGTGTCATTTTATCTTCACATTCAAGAAAAGCATTGTGTCTTTCTTTCTGTTAATCCATATAAGAGAGGTATCCCATCAATATTGATGCTGCTGACTGGACATCTTCACATCTTTCATTCAGAGAACAAGAAAGGCATTCCACCAATCAAGTTGCATTGTATCATTAATTCATAGGATAGTTAATAGTTTCTTCTTGACATTGTGCCTTTAATTCATAGGATAGCTAATGGTTTCTTCTTGACATTGTGCCTTTAATTCATAGGATAGCTAATGGTTTCTTCTTGACATTGCAACTGTTTCTTAAACAGTTTAATGTGGATTTATTTTTACTTTTCAGCCACAACATGCCTTGCCTGATGTTTTTACCTGGATGATCAGTGGCAGCAAGAGGGTCGCCTACCAACGTATTCCAGTTGAATCCATCATATACTCAATAGTTGATGAAGAAAAGGGCAAAGATTGTGGAAAGGTTCAGACCTTATTTCTTAGAGTAAGTAAAATTTAATTTGTTTTTTTTTTTATAGATCATGCTCTCAAATTTATCTCACCATATCTGAAGACAATATGATAATGGATATTTGAGGATTGATCTTTGTAAGGTAAGAATGGTAATTCTGCTGATAAGTTGGGTGATCAATTTTGAAACTCTATTTATTCTTCAAAACGAAATAAGAGAAAATCTAAAACATAATGCAAAGACAAAGAAAAATTATAACTTTTACCTGTTCAACTTAAATTTCAAAAATTCTGGAAATTTATTTTCTCTGAACTTCTGTGAATTAATTTTGCAATAAAATTAGTTTTGGAGGAATTCAAAGAATGATTTTTTGAGTTTATGAACATTTAAATTTATCTTAAGCATGTAAATGAGGCAGCAATATTTTTGGTTTGATCTGCCTCTTGTAAAGATAGTTTAGCGTTGGGAGTCAGATACTTACTGGAACGTTACTTTCCAGGATCTTTAGCAATGGATTGGATAGATGAGTTCCACTTGCAATCTGGGATCACCTTATCCGTTGTTTGATCTTTCTGCTTGTGACCACATAAGGAAAGAGCTTTCAACTTCAGATTAGTGAGGTTTTTTTTTTCAACAGCAGAGGATAATCAGACAAAAATTAAAAAATATTACAGTATAAAGGGAAAGGTATAATGTGAATACATTACAGTATAAATGGGAAAGGTTTAATGTGAATCCATTACAGTATAAAGGGAAAAGGTTTAATGTGAATCCATTACAGTATAAAGGGAAAAGGTTTAATGGTGAGAGAGAGAACTACAAGTTTTTTTTTTCCATTTAATGTTAATGATAATAACCGTTTCCTGATAAGGAAATGTTTATTATTCACTGACCTAGCAGCTGCCAATGCTACTTTCAGTTGAAACTTATGAAATCTTTCTTAAAATAATTTTACAAAATACAGTTTATAAAGTATATTTATCATAAATATATCCTAAAAACTGATTGGCTAATATTTTATATATATATATATATATATATATATATATATATATAAAAAAACACACACACACAATTGGTACAATTTAAAATGTGAATATCTTAGTTTGTCTGGGACTTGTAGATACTAAGTTAAATAGGCTTTATGTTGAACGATAAAAGATTTATCAAAATTCAAGCAGGGATGTAGATTTTATAACTGATTTCACTAGTCCAGCTCCTGCCAAACATGCTGTAGCATGTCTTGCGTAACATTCACCAGTGCCTCAGTGATCCTCTACTTAAGTTCCTCTAGACTTGTAGGAATAGGGATGGATACAGACCTGTCCTTTCACATAGCCCCAAAGAAAAAAAATATTGCAGAGTGTCAAGTCAGGTGAGCGTGGTGGCCATTTTAACAGTGCATTATCACTGGCACATTCAATTTCCTGATAGATTCTCATTGAGATAACAGCCAACTTAGTTTTTCCACATTTTGTTACAATTTAAGATAATTTCTAGTGTGAATTGGCTCTGATATTAGACTACAAAATGATGTCAATATTTTTGGGACACTGTATTTTCAGTTAAATTTCTAAAATCTTTTTTTAAAACAATTTTTCAGAAAAATAAATTTCTCAAGTTCATTGTTATCACTCTTTCCAGTAATGATGAGGGTTTCTTTCCTAACCTTTTGTTTGAAGTCATGTGGAATGTCAACATCTTTATTACATCACTATTAGCTCTTAGAGTTACATGTTTTGTTGTTGCTGGAAATCCTCAAGGGATACGGCTTCTGTTGTTTGGTACAGTTATCTTTATTTTCTTGTTGTTTTAATATTATTTTTATCTTATTTTTCTAGTTACCAGGCAAGAAAGCCAGTGGTCAAGCAGGTTGGTCCATACAAGCTAAACTTCAGATCTACTTGTGGTTAGGACTCTCAAAGCACAAGAAAGATTTTCTCAGTGGCTTGCCCAAAGGCTATGAAGAAACAAAAACGATCAAGCAAGCCAACAGATTAAATGCAATGCCACCACAGGTTCTCAACTACAAAGGTATAACTTTTCTCTTACGGCTTACAATATAAATATGGGGCAGGGAGAGAATCTATTTCTTTTTCACTGCAAGAGGATTGATATTACAAAACAGTTCAGCATTCTCTTCTTTGCTTCTAATTAAATTTTCTTCAGAGTCTGTCTATATTTCTGAGATGAGGTATTATGTACATTATTTACATTATTCGGACTATTGTCCTCATCTTTTTCGCCATATCTATCACAACATTTCGGTCATTGTACGCTCCGTCCTTCTTCAGGTGGTTGGAATGTCGAACCGAACCCTTTATTTCGCTCACTGGGATAGACTGTTCTAGTTCCATGTGCCATGTTTGATGGATGTCAGTTATCAGTTATCTCCTGTTAATTTCCCTCTGAAAGTTCTCCACTGCCTTAACTGCCGAGACGTTGTGATAGATATGGCGAAAAAGATGAGGACAATAGTCCGAATAATGTTAAATTTTCTTATTTTTTAATACCTTATTTAGCTTTTTGAACACATCTTTCTTTATTCAAATGTGTGTTGTGATTTTGATCTCACATATTCCATCCTCTTTTAGAACACTTTTCTTATTTGTTTAATCATTTCACCCCAAGTAAGGTGAAAATACCATTAAGACACAAGGGGTTACACTACAGGGTGTGGAAGAGAATGAGAAGACTTTAGCAAGGAGGAAAGACCATAAAAAAAACAGGTTTCAGAATAACAGAAGATGACAATTGACATTGCATTTGAATTTTTGGCAGGGAAGCAAGAAATTGGAAGAGCATTCCACAATTGAGAAGCATAAGAAAAGAAACTATTAGAACTTACGAATATATCTAGCTATTTCAATAGTGAAACAATGACATCTAATAGCCAATTTAGTAACAGGCTTAAATTCACATGACTACAGTAATTTCAAGATGTTACAACAAAGGGCAGCTGATATGCACACACCAATAAAACTCACTTGATATTGAGCACTGTAAATACAAAAACTGTTTACCTTAAAAGTCGTTAACTTCCAGAATTATTTTTGTCAATTAGTTTAGGGAAAAATATAATCGCTTGATGAGCTTTCCTCTTTAGTGCATTGACTGCATGAATTTAATGCTAGATTGGAAACTATATCTTATTGTTCTATTGTTGAAATGTCTAGACCTAACTGTAAATTCAATTCTAATATTTTATCTTCTCACACTTCTCCCCTGTAGAATCTTTCTCTGATTTCTTGCATCCCTGTCACCTAGAATCTGCTAAAATTTAAATGCAATGTCAATCACCATCTTCTGTCTTCCTGAACCCTGTTCTTTTATTGTCCTTTCACCTTACTAAAGTCTGTTCCTTTTCTGTCATTTCCAATAATCATTTGCATTGTAGAGCATTATCACCTTACATGGGGTGAAATGATTAAAGAAAAATAATGTCTCCTGAAGATTGAAGATTCCACAAAAATCTGAATAGAGACAAGTAAACATATTTAATTTATTATTAGAGCTCTGTTGCCTGATAGTGAGCATTGTAATTACAGAGACTGTTTTAGAAGTATTAAATACCAGAATTACCCTGGTCAACCATATTTTGACAAGATACGATCTTTGTTACGTACATAAATAAATATATGTAAAGTCATATGTACATTGTATTTTTTTTTTTTATACCAGTTAATTTATTTTTTGCTTTTAATTGCAGAGAAACAAATGTTTCAACTTCGTGCCCACATGTATCAAGCTCGAAGTTTAATCGCATCTGATGCAACTGGTTTGTCAGATCCTTTTGCACGTGTGATTTTTGGAGACCAATGTGTTATGACACAAGTTATAGAGGAAACACTAAGCCCAACATGGGACGAAATGTTAATTATAAACGAACTGGTGATGTTTGGCCAAATGGATCAAATATCTGAAGATCCACCTGCAGTTATTGTGGAAATATTTGACCAGGATAAAGTGGTGAGTATGAAGTTTTAAAGTCGGGGGGAGGGTGTCGGTATGAAGTTTTTGAGTCGGGGGGAGGGGTGTCGGTATGAAGTTTTGAGTCGGGGAGGGTGTCGGTATGAAGTTTTTTTCTCAGGGGGGGAGGGTTTCGGTATGAAGTTTTTTGAGGGGGGAGGGGTGTCGGTATGAAGTTTTTGAGTCGGGGGGGGGGTGTCAATATGAAGTTTTTGAGTCGGGGGGGGTGTCATTATGAAGTTTTTGAGTCGGGGGGGAGGGTGTCGGTATGAAGTTTTTTTTCCTCAGGGGGAGGGTGTCGGTATGAAGTTTTTAAGTCGGGGAGGGGTGTCGGTATGAAGTTTTTTGAGTCAGGGGAGGGTGTCGGTATGAAGTTTTTTGAGTCAGGGGAGGGTGTCAATATGAAGTTTTTGAGTCGGGGGGGGGTGTCAATATGAAGTTTTTGAGTCGGGGGGGAGGGTGTCACTTGTGAGAGAATAAATTTCCCTGTTTTTCTTGTCAGTTCTTTGATGTTTGCTTTGGCAACAATAAACGTCTTCTTTCATTGTCTTGTTTTTTTTTTTGCTCTTAGAATTTGCCCACTGCAGAAAAGCCATGCTTGACTATGCAATGATCATAGGAACTAAAATAATTTCCCCTTCTCCCATCATCCTGGGCTTGACAATAAACTACATTTGGCAGCAAGGCCTCTGATCAGGAGATTGGAGGTTTTGAGAAGCATGAAACCACCTCTTAATTGCTGTTGTTCCCTGATCCACTCTGACCCAGAATGGTAGCACCTGTTAGGTTCCCAGCTTATGGACAAATAGTGAACTCCCAAACAAAAATCAGTTCATTTTTATAATAAAATGAGCAGCAATACATTTTTATAATAAAATGAGCAGCAATACATTTTTATAGCAAAATGACAATCGACAATCAATGCAAAACTAAAACAGTATAAAAATACATTTTTTTAGTAAAATTACTAACAATACATTTAATGATCTACAAAGTATAGGGTGTCCCAAAAATTTGACATTTTAGAAACAATTATCTTGAAAACTACTAAGTCTAGCTCAATGAAATTGAACAGTTTAGGTGTTGAACATCATAAGTTTATTATTGGACCGATTTCATAAGTATTCAATATGTACACCGCCTTTGATACAGCACACATCAAGTCGGTAGTTAAGTTCTTGCCAAACACACTGTAGCATGTCTCCGGTAACATTATCCAGTGTGGAAGTGATTCTCTGCTTGAGTTCATCAATGCTAGCAGGAAGAGGGGGTACAGGGACAGACCTGGTGACCATAGTGGCCATTTCATCAAAAAACTCTCTTCATCTCCACCACGCCCAATCCATCTCTGGCAGATTCTCATTGAGATAAGCACGTACTGTCCTCTTCAATTTTGATCTGTTTCCTATAGATTCTGTGAAAATTTGAGGTTATTTCAACAAGAATTGCCAAAATTATTGGCCTGCAAAATGGTGTTAAATTTTTTTGGATACCCTGTATACGTCTAAAAAAAACAAAAAAACATACCTTTAGTCAAAAAGTATAAAATTATGTACAAGATATATTCAGCTGTAGCCATAAAATTGCATTCAAAATATTTCGATTTTAGCATTAAATAATCCATAGAGGTTGATATACTGCTCAACAAAATCAATAAACTGATGCAACTCTCTTTACAAAAATACATTCATGAAACCTGATCTACAACTGATTACCATCCTAGGTATGACTATAAACTACATCCGTGTCCTGGGTAAGACGATAAACTATGTCCAACAACAAGGCCTCTGATCAGGAGGTTTTGAGGAGTGTGGAACCACCTCTTAATTGCTAGTGTTCCCAGGTCCACCCTGACCCGGGGTGGTAGCACCTGTTAGGGTCCCAGCAATGGACAAATAATTAACACTCAGATTACATTTGCATCCTGAGTATGACGATAAACTACATCCGCATCCTGGGTAAGATGATAAGCTATGTCCAACAGCAAGGTCTCTGATAATACGTTTTTGAAAAAATAATGTTCCCAACTGTACATTTTTGAGAAAAAAATATTAACAGAAATGGATTTTTGACAAAACAAAAATATTACCAGGAAAGAAAAAAAAATTGTCGGCATTAAATGACCCATTGAGGTTTTGATATGCCATAAAACAAAACAAACTACAAGCTGATTTCTTCTGAAGAATGCATATGCTGTATCTGTGTCTATTTTTGAGATGAGGTATTGCAATTATTTACATTATTTACATTGCTCAGACTGTTGCCTCATCTTTATTGTTATATTCACATTTCGGCTATTGTATACTCCCACCTTCTTCAGGTGATTGAAATTTCAAACTATTCTATTCATACGAACATGTCCTAAAAATTTTGTCAGCATTAAATAACCCATTTAGAGTGATATGCCGTAAAACCAAATAAACCAAACCAAAACCTTCCCCCATTGGTAATGCAATTTTTATATTCTTTTCAACAGTCAGAAATTCTTGTATTTGTGAGAATATAACATTATTAAATATTCACCTTATGAGCAGCCATCTTTCTTTTTTCTTTTTTTTTTTGTTGGTCTGTGTTTCTTTACATTCAGTGCATGTGAAAAGTTTTTTGTGTCAGCAGTAAGTTATTTTTTTTCTTTCTTTATATGCTTTTTCCTTCATTGCTCCAAGCACACAATGTTTTAATTTTATTTTCTGCAGGGAAAGGCAGAGTTCATTGGACGTGCAGTTGCAAAACCAATTGTGAAAATGTACAACGAGAAATATTGTAAACCAAAATTTCCACCAAAACTTGAATGGTGGGATATCTACAGAGGATCCGATCGGGCTGGTGAACTATTGGCAACTTTTGAACTCCTACAG